TAGTAGAGATGGGGTTTCACCATGTTGACCAGGATGGTCTCAATCTCTTGACCTCGTGATCCACCCGCCTCGGCCTCCCAAAGTGCTGGGATTACAGGCTTGAGCCACCGCGCCCGGCTCCACTTGATTTCTTGTTGCTCCAATTATGGAGGCCTTTTTGTCGCCAAATGGGGCGACCGGGGTGGTAACAACCTAATACTCTGCACCGTTGTCCACCATAAGTCATTAGGTGGCCCCCCGACTTTCATTTTGACCATGGGCTCACGTGGCCAAGTTTTATGGAGTCCAGCCTGTCCTACTCTGAATCCATGCCAAACAAGCCAATCAGGTGGGCTTTGTTAGGCTCTGGCTGGTACTTCACCTTCCCTTTGGGTGGGGCCCTATCAGGGCTGTTCTCTTGAGGCACTCATTTTTCCAATGTCACAACTCTTTGCAGTAGGCACACTGGTCAGCCTGCAAGATAGGGGGGCGGGGGGTGGCGGCACTCGGGCTTCCCCCCTTTACGAGGGGGACCTGGTCTTTGGGTGGGACTGGCCGGCTGAAAGCTGCTGCCAGGAGGGTGACTCTGTTTCATCCGCTTCTCTGCCTCCATCTGTGCCTGCAGATATCGGTCAACGTAAACTTTGCTTGTGACTTCCAGCAGTTGGGTGGCATTCATTCCTGCAAAACCCTCCACTTTCAGTAGCCTCTGTCAAATGTCTGGAGCTGACTGGGTGACAGAGGCAGTGTTGACCATCCACACTTTTTCTGGCACCTCTGGGTTAAACAGACTGTATATCCAGAAGGCCTCCCAAAATGCCTCACAGAAGTCACCGGGGGACTCATCTGGCTTTTGAGTGAGTGCTGCGGTTTTTGACATGTTGGTCGGCTCCCTTGCCCCTTCCTAGACTCCTCTGAGGAGAGCCTCCCAGTAGCATTGAAGGGAGACCCTCCCTGCCTCACTATTAAAGTCCCAATTTGGCTTAATATCTGGCAATGCTTCTACTGCCCATCAGCCTGTCAAGGGCTCTCACTGGGGCCTGCCCTTCAAACCACTTTTGTGCCTCGGTTAAAATAATGTCTCCACTCCTCTGTATTGAAGAGTGTGAAGAGGAGCTGGTGGCAGTCATCCCAAGTGGACTGATGCATCTGGAAGATGGATTCCAGAAGGTCAACTAGGGCTTGGGGCTTCTCCAAATATGCCGAAGTATGGTGTTTCCTGTTCAGGAGGTCTGTGATACTGAAGGGTTGGTAATAGAGAATGGGCCTCCCAGGGTCAATTGTCCCATCATCCATTCCTGTGGAGGGGCCTCGAATCTCCCATAGAGGCATTTGAAGGGCCGGTTGAGAAGACCATAAGCCTCTGGCGAGGGGAGTCCCAGGGCACTGGCCTCCGTGGTTTCCACCAACATGGGAGTGTCTCAGGCAAGCTCAGGGGAGTGGGGGCCGATGGGGCTGTCGGGGGGGATGTAGGGTGATGGTGGAAGCTCCTCCTCAGGGTTGCCTTGGTGGATGGGTTTTCTGGGTCCTTTGGTAACTTGAGCCACGAAAACCTTACATTGTCCCTTTCTAACCGTGCAGAATCGAACTCAGGATGGAAGAGGCTGAGCTACTTCTAATAGGAGTCAATGTAAGGGAATTGATCTGGGTGTCCAGGACTGCCAGTAACAGCCTTCCAAACAGCTCTTAATGTGGGTAACATCTAAGGTCCCCTCAGATGGCCAGCCAACATTGAATGTTAGCCATTCCACCTCACAAATGGTTTTTAGTTTCCCTGGAGTCATTTTTACCCCAGAATCTCCACAGAAGCCCTTCCTGAAGTTTTTGATCATACAGTCTAGGATGGTGGGTTTTGATTGGCCCTTCCCCATGACTTATGTCCTCTCCTTGACCCGTGGCATGAGACAGTCTGAAGGGAGGGGTTGTCTTGTTAGGGACCACTCAGGTGCCCACCTGGCTGTGTCCCTCGTAGGAACTTTAGGAGCCTCTTAGCATTGGCAGGCAGGACTGGGCTTGAGCCTGGCCCAATGCTGCCCTAAGCCTTATGAGGTCACTACAGAATTGCAAGTGAGGGCCCACTTGCAATTTTCATAGTGGAGCCAGACTGGAAAATCAAGGACAAGCCCTTGAATTCCACATTCACTCACTCACACAGAATTTATTACATTTCCTCCCTAGCCCAGAGAGTCTACCTGTGGTCTCCCTGTGGAGACCCTGGGTGGTGATCAGGCTCCCCTTCCATCTGGAGATGGGCCTGCCTGGGGTGGGGTCCTGGGACCTTACCTTGTCCATGGTCTTCTGTTGTTCAGTCCATCCCCTCCACGAGTGGGCGGCAGCACCGGGAGGGTGAGGAGGGTGGATCACCTGAGGTCATGAGGTTGAGACCAGCCTGGCCAACATGGTGAAACCGTGTCTCTACTAAAAATTAGCTGGCATGGTGGCCAGTGCCTGTAATCCCAGCTACTTGGGAGGCTGAGTTTGCAGTGAGCCAAGACTGCACCACTGCACTCCAGCCTGGGGAACAAGAGCAAAACCCAGTCTTAAAAAAAAAAAAAAAAAACATACATAAAGAGATTTGAACCTAGGCTCAACATTATGCTGCCGTTAGAAGGGGACTGTAAGCCACTTACTTGAATGCTATATATAAATCCAACTCAATAGTGCAATTACTGCTATCAAACTGAATTGCACCTGACTAGACCATAATGATGAGAACCAAGGTGGACTTTACAGAATGGAGAAGCAGAGGCAGTTAGGCAAGTTCACAGGCAATGCACAATGTAGTTCTGAGGTTACAGGGCCATTACGGGATGCTGAAGAAAGTCAAGGGCATTTAGGAAGGGCTGATGGTGGTCAGAGAAAAGTCAGGTTAAGAGCAGCAAAGTGTAAGGAAATAGGGAGCATTCCAGTTAAACAATCAGCGCCCTGAAGGCCAGAGGCACGTTAACATTTTACAATAATTTGAAAACCACCTCTCCACCACTAGATACAGACATGTCCTTCTCCCATTAAGGGCACTTCTCTACAGCTTCACTTTGCTTCTACAAACCCTGAAACACAACTCGGGGCCTTTGCACTTGTTTTCCATCTGTCTTCCTAGAGTGCTCTTCCATCAACTATATATAAGGCCATGGCATCTCCCTCAGCTCTTCCTCGTTGAGTGAGGCCTCCCTTGCTGGCCATGTTCTTAAATGCCTCCCATTCACTGCAAACACATGCACTGTCTCTTTTCTTCTCCCTTCCTCCCTTAGCAATTATGGCTAGTTAACACTTTTATATATTTTTTGTACTGGTCTGTGCTCACATTGCTATAAAGAACTGAGACCGGGTTATGTATAAAGTAAAGGTTTAATTGTCTCATGGTTCAGTAGGCTCTACAGGGAGCATGGCTGTGGAGGCTTCAGGAAACTTATCATGAGGGATAACTAAGAGGATGCACATGGTCAGAGCAGGAGGAAGTAGGGGGAGGTGCTACACATTTAATCTGAACTTTCTTCTGCCTCTGCCTTGAGACATGTTGCACAATTGCATAACCTTTACTTTCATTAGTTTTTGAGGCAGGGTCTCACTGTCACTTAGGCAGGAGTGCAGCGGCAAAATCATGGCTCACCATTGCCTTGACCACCTGGGCTCAAGCAATACTGCCTCGTTTTTTGTAGAGACAAGGTCTTACTATACTGCCCAAGATAGTCTTCAACTCCTGGCCTCAAGTGATCCTCCCACCCTGGCCTTCAAAATTATTGGGATTACAGGCATGAGACACTGCCCCAGAGCACTTCACATCTAAATTACATCTTGTGAGAAATCACTATCACAAAAACAGCAAAAAGGAAACCCACCCTTTTGATCCTATCACCTCCCACCAGGCCCCTCCTCCAACACTGGGGATTACAATTCAATATTATATCTAAACTTATGAGCAATTACCTAGACTTATGAGGGTAGACTTTGCAATAGGGAATGTAAAAGTTTAGATAAAAGGCAAGAACAATGCTATGAATTAAGAATGACTCCAAGATAAATATTAAATACTTTTATTTAGAAGTTCTGGAGAATGAGTCACTTCTGACAGAGTAATGAGACCTCAATTGCTAGACAGGCAGCAGACTGGTTAATAGGAGTGAACTTGCTTGACTGTTTCCTCCCACATGAAAACTTTTCATCACCTCCAAAACTTTCATATTCTAAGAACGTAGCACCACTGTGTCCTTTTAAATCCCCTTACACTTCCTTATGCTACACACACACACACACACAAACATAATATGCTGACACATACTCTCTTTTGTGCCCAATTTTGTGAACCTTCTTAGGTTCAATGCAATGAATACGAAGAGCTTATATTCTTAACTGCTCTACCGTGGTCCTTTCCTAGTTTGCTTAAATTCTTTTAACTGTTACACCAAGACACCAAATCTCAAGAGACAAGTGACTTTCCAGAAGTCACGTGACGCCTCTTATTCGGAAATACTCACATTTTATGAAACTTGATTTACCCCAATCCATTTCTTTACATGTGAAATGGGAGAACAAAATCAACCTCCGAATTATGAGAATTAAATTAAAAGATGAGCATGAAACACCCTGTTGCCACCAGCCTTGTCCCTGCTCTAGCTCCTGTGGCACTGCATGGACACGTGGTTGCTACAACTTAGTACTCCTATTAGAGGCATTTTCGTATTGTAACTGAAGGGATAGTTGGTCTAAATCAATTGAAATACCAGCATCAGGACATCCTAGCTTCAATGGCTTGTACCTGTAGTTGTCAACCTATAGAAAGAAAAGTTTTAAAATGACGTTTTAAAAACAACTGAAATGTATCGCTTGTTTTATAAACTGTGTGAAGAAAATTATAGAGGCGCTCAGTTGTAACAAAATTTTTTCTGGTTCAGGTGTGACTCCAGACAGGATCCAAAGAGGAGATTTTCAGTCTCTTCTCTGGGTTTTATGGAGACTTACTTTACCCTTCTGTGTTAGCCTCTTAAAGCACTGGGTCAACCTTAAAAGGGCACAGGAAAGGGCACTTTGGGATTTTTTTTCCCCTTTCATTTTTACGGAGTTCACTACTATTTCCCGCATTGTTTTCAATACCCCGTGGATCTCTGCTTCTCTAAGTCTGAAACCACCACTAGAAACAGCTGTTTCGTTTGGTGAGCCCCCTGCACGGATGTTTCCTTCCAGATAAGGAGAGCCAGATTCGGGCCCTGGCGATAAATACTGGCCACGTGCTCGGGGCTGGGTCATTTCATCCCACTTAGGAACACACCTTTGCTATTTATGAGGCCGCCGCACTTCCGCAGACGTAGGAGAGACGAACTCCTGGAGCTCAAGGTCGGCCGGGGTTGGGTTCCTACCGCCGCACATGTGGCCCACCTGAGATCTGCTACAAAGTAGTGGCGCGTCCGCCCTGGGGAAGCAAAGCGGAAAACTCTTCTGGTGCCCAGACCTGCCCAGAAACCTCCGGCTGCTCCGCTAGGCGCGGCGCCTGTGCCTCGCGCGGGCCCGAGACGGGCACGGCCGCCCGCCCCCCGCGCCGCCGAGGACTGCTCTACCCCTCCGTTCTGGCCGCCGGGAGCAGAGGAGCTCGGGGCGGGCAAAGCTCGAGGGGACGCGGGGCGACCCCAGCCCCTCACCGGGCCCGTGGGCCGACCGGGCGCCCTCCCCGCCCGAGACCGAAAGCCGAAGGTTGGAGGCCCACTCACCGCGCAACTCCAGCGGACAAAGAGGCCGGAGACCTGCACCAGGCGCACAAACCGGAGAGGCGGCGCGGGGCGGGGCGGAAAGGGGAGGGCCGCGGGGCGCGCAGCCAATCCCGGGAAGATCTGGGCGAGGGCGGGGCGCGCAGCCCATCCCTGGAGAGGTCGCGGAGCTCAGCCAATCCCGGGAAGATCCTGGGCGGGGCGGGGTGGAGGCCCGCGGCACTCACAGCCAATCCCGGAAATCTTGGGCGCGGGGGGGAGGAGTTTGGGGGGCCGGGCCGGGCCATTGGCTATCGGTGTCCGGGTCCGGCCTAGGTCTGGCTCCTGCAGTGGCGCCTGGACCTGTCAGCTCTGCGCGGAACATCCTTCTCGGAATCAGATTCGTCAGGCTCCCCACCAGTCCTCGGCGTTGGTGATTCTGGTGTTCTCAGGCTCTCCTCGGGTTCTCTTTTGGGGAGGCCATCGCGGTTACTCCAGGGCCGCACTACGGTCCTGAGACCCTTTCCTAAAGCCGTATTCATCCGGTGTGTGTTCATAATCTGTCCGCCTAAACTGTAACCTTAAAGAGAAACCACGACCGTTTCTTGTTCAACGAACTCGCTCCCATGGCCCCTCCTAAAGCTAAAGGGACTGCCTCCTTTCCTCATGCTCCCTCGTTATTCATTTATGCAGTGTCCAGTAAGTAGACCATAATCAGCTGGAGGTGGGAGTGGGGGAGGGTGAGAAGGCAACCATAGCTATCTCAAAGTAACAGGCTCAATTTTGGCAAACAAATAAGTAGAATAAAATTGGAGTATATGCTAAAAGGAGAACTTCTATTACTGTTTCATGTACTTACCATCTGCTAACAAATCTAATCCTCAAAATATCTTTTATCATCTCCAAATTATAGATGGGGAAATAATTGTTATAACTTGCCCAAAGTCACAGAGCAGTCAGCAAGTGGTAGGTAGATCCAGGATTTGAACTCAAGCAGCGTAAAAGCAGAGCCCCTCACACACCATGCTACCCGGCCTTTCCCCAGATGTTGAGGGTGGAACAGGAAGGGAAACCAAAAAATAGCCTATATTTGGTTAACTGATCAAGATATACAGCTCTAGTAGGGTCGTGGCTTTTTTTTTTTTTTTTTTTAATGGAGTCTTGCTTTGTCGCCCAGCCTGGAGTGCCGGGTTCAAGCTATTCTCCTGCCTCAGTCTCCCGAGTAGCTGGGTTTACAGACGCGCACCACCACACCTAGCTAATTTTTGTATTTTTAGTACAGACTGGGTTTCACCATGCTGGCCAGGCTGGTCTTGAACTCCTGACCTAGTGATCTGCCTGCCCCGGCCTCCCAAAATGCTGGGATTTCAGGCGTGAGCCACCATGCCTGGCAAAGGGGTTGTGGCTTTGCAGGCAGAAAGAACAGGTCGTCCACAGCCCCAAGGTAGAACAGGAAAAGGCTTTACCTGTTTAAGGACCCCCAGAAATTGAACTTAAGTATATAGGAGCAGAGTGGTATGAGATGAGAGTGGCTTGGGGCCAGACCATGCAGAAAACCCTGGGAGAATTTTTGTTGTTTTTTGAGATGGAGTCTAGCTCTGTTGCCCAGACTGGAGTGCAGTGGCACGATCATGCTCAATGCAGCCTCCGCCTCTCAGGTTCAAACGATTCTCCTGCATTGGCCTCCCAGGTAGCTGGGATTATAGGCATGCACCACCATGACCGGCTAATTTTTGTATGTGTGAAAGAGTTTATATTTTGTGCTAAGAATGATGAAAAGCTATTCAAGTGTTGTTTATTTTATTTTTTTCTTTTTAACAGGGGAATGATAGGATCTGATGTAGGGTGTGGTTTCAGGTGTGATTGAGATGATTTTTGTGGGAAGAAGAAATTGAATAAAATTTACTAATAGGTCGGGTGCAGTGGCTCACGCCTGTAATCCCAGCATTTTGGGAGGCCGAGGCAGTTGGATCACGAGGTCAG